TCTGGAGGGCTTGGGAGCCACAGCAAGACACCTCCCAACACAGAATTCTGTCAGCCTTTTACAACCCATTTGGCCTCAGCAATGTCAGCCTGCCTCAGGGGTAGGCTCGGGTCAGTCACTGTCCCCAGGTCCATAATCTCAGCTTCCCCTGGGGTTAAGACGTGTAGGGGAAGGAATGGCTCCATCTCAAATCAAAGTGGAAGCAGACATAAGTCACAGAAGATAGAAGGCAAGAAAAGAACCATTGGACTAAGAAGAACAAAGAACCAGTTGGGTTCTTCTGTCAACAATTGTGCTACAACCTCTAACAGCTTTGGAGCATGCATTTAACTATAAGAAAGCTCTCCAAAACAAGTCATTGGTTAGGAAAAACATCAATTTCCTGATCTGAAGTTAAAATGTGTTTATATAAATAGATCGTGGATTATCCCAGCAAGCTGGACTAGGAGTGTGCCCTGGTGTGCAGAGGAGGGGCATGGGGTTGGCAGAGAGACAGGCTCAGGCTGGGGCTGGGTTGGGACACAGGAACATTCTGGAACACACCTCCCTGCCTGTGCTTTACCAGCCTAATCTGACCCGTAAGCAACTCCAAATCTGTCCTGAAATGCGTTCTTTAATTCAGGACTCTCCTCCAGATGGCCTTCCCTGGACATTTCCTCACACCGTTTGGGTGGGGGACCCTGCTCAGTGCTCCCCCAACTCGGCCCCTGAATTGAGCATCCCTGCTGACGTGCACCCGCCCACTGCGGACTCCTAGGGACAGAGCTGACAGAGTGGGGACTGGGGAGCGTGGGGTCTGGGGACAATACATGTAGAAGAGACCTGCAACCCAAGCCACCTCTGGTGTGGAGGTGGGGGTGGGGGGGTGATGGCATACACCCACCAATGCGAAGAGTGAGGCACCAGGCCACATGAACCTGTCCAACTCTACACAGCCAATCCTCATAGGCGACTTTGTCCTCAGATGAGCACACAGCTTCCTAACCCAAGAAGGTCCTTAAGGGAGGCAAGCTTGTTTCCCACCAGCTCGGTCATCTGGGACATCCCACCTCTTTACCAGTAGCTGCCCAAGATCACTGTCAGTTTATCTTGGTCAGAAACACTGCAGCGATTCACAACTCTGTCCATGCGTGTTTCTCACCAGGGAAGACAGAGGGATCAAGCTGAAGGTGACTCCCCACTTTGCTGGGATCCAGACTGTCAGTCTCCCCTGAGAAGTGGTCAAGGGCAGAGCTCCATCTATAAGGACTGCTTTAGGTCTATGCCCCTCTGACCTCTGCAGTTGAGGAAGATAAACCCTCTAAGCAGCTAGTCACTGGAAAGGACACCTGAGCGGGAGATGCAAGCCCTTTGGAACCTTCTACTAACAGAAGGTCCATGCTCACTTGGGTCTTCTACCCCCAAGGCCCGGGAGGTTCCAGCAATCACCGGGACAGGCATCAGTGAACTCAAGGAGTCCAGAAGCCTCTGAACTCTGGAGAAACTGGGCACCTTCTTGGTTTCTCAACTGGTTTAGTGCACAGCAGGAAGTCTAACAAGCATCATTGAAGAGATTCACCCTGTTCTCTAGTCTTTGCCAATGGGCAGATCTTTATGTAAGCATTCCTATCTATTTGCAAACTGTCCCAAGTCTGACTGATCCTTAGGGTATCTAAGCTGTTCATTGACTCTCAAGCACTACCTGAGGTGCAGAGTTGCCCTTGAGGTCAGGATGGATGTGCAGAATCCGGGTGAGGGAGTTGGGGGTATGTGGGCTTCATTATCCAGGGACTGAAGCAGGTATGACCTTCCCCCACAGCTTAATTTCAGTCACATAACCACCACATCAAGCATAGATCTGATAGCAGGTTTATGCTCCCAAACAGACCCCAGGAGAAAGTCATCTAGATCGAACCACCTCCATAAGCAGTTCCTGGTTTGGCAATGGCTCAAACCTAGACATACAATTCCCATGTAACCCAGAAATTCCACTGTTAGGTTCACCCACAAGAATTGAAGACAGGAAGTCAAGCAAACATTCACATGCCAGTGTTCATCATGATACTGTTTCAAAGTGTGGCATTGCCACATGAGTATCACTATGACAAGGGATGGAGATTTGAAGATTGGATGCCTGAATAACCACTAGAAAGCTCACAAGGAATGAGGTTCTTGCTCATGAGACATCAATAAACCCTGAGAACATTATGCGAAGTAAAATAAGCTAGACAGAAAGGACAAATGTGATCCATTTATAACATGTCCAGAGTAGGCACATGTAGAGACTAGAAGTGACCAGGGGCTCAGGGAGGGAAATCAGTTAATGGTATTCGTGGAATGAACAAGTTAGCAGTGATGGGTGCACAACATTGAATTGAATGCCACCGCTTGTATACTTAGATGGCTGAAGTAGGATTTGCTATGTTTAGCCACCAAAAAAGGGTGGCCTTTTTGTTATATGGGTATATTGTGTATGTGCTAATGCAATCAGGGGGAAAAAGTGCAAATACAGTTCCACTTCATAATACTACTTGGTTTCGATGCCCTCAGGAACTGCCCCCATTCCTCGGCTGCCTCCCACCCCCAGCACTTCCCCACAGTATCAACCTAATGCTGGGGGGTAGGGAGGGTGGGCAGGTTAGGGTAGGGAGTGGGCTCTGCCAAGACAGTGCTGGTGACCCAGAGGGACGACTCCAGGGTGGGGAGGCAAAGCACAAGTTAGCGGTGGGTGGTGGGGGAGGTGGCATCTCTAAGGAGGGATGGGGTTGGAGCAGCTGCCAGTCTGTGTGCTGGGCCCAGCCCACTCCCCTACTCACCCCTCCACCATCCCTGCCTCCCTACCGTTAACCCCTTCCCCAGAAACCCTTTTGCTCGGATCACACACAAACGGACAGCTTACAAAATGACATAGCAGTTTCACAATATGCATGGCTAGGGCTTTTTTCCCTGTTTTTCAGGTTCTCTTCTACACAATGTACAATTCCTTTTAAATGGATCAAGAAATGGCTTATATACATGAGTCCTTGTTATAACATCTCGGCAGCAAATATCATAAGCTAATGAAGATAATGATGGAAGGGAAGGGAGCCTAGGACAGGGATGGGGGAGGGGGTGTGGAGAGAAGGGTTATCCTTTCTGAAGGAGTGGTGAGAAATTGGAATGGTTGGGGGAAAGGAACGAAAGTAAAATATCAAGAAGCATCTTTACAAAGCAGTTCTAATTCCTTTTGAAGGGGAAATAAAGGTAACCAAAGCAGGAAAACATTTGTCTTAAAAAATTGTCTCCCATACATATATCCAAAAATGTGGGGAAAATACTTATTCCAGGGATTGAGGGAGTCCCGATGCTGTGGTCAAATGACAAAATAAAACTGACAAATAAGAACCTCTGTCCCCCAGTTTTACCCAAGCCTTACCACTAGGAACCCTGATGATTTTACTTCTAGGAACCCCACCTAGTCTCACGGCGATGGGAGCGAAGTCTCATTCCTCCAGCAGGAAGACAAACTTCTGCAATGCCCAGAGTTCTCCCCGTAAGGATCACCGACTACCAAATCTAACAGACCTGAGGATGGGAAACACCTAGCTCCAGCCCTCTTTAGTCTTCCTGTACCCCAAATATTTGAATAACCAAGAACTCAAACCAGATCCCGGAAGCTCACATCCAGGCACATGACTCAGTACTTGCTGTCCTGGGTTTCCTGCTGTTATGTGGCAGGAGACAGCCTGCTGTACACCAGGGCCCCACCAGGACTCTGCCTCTCCCCACTACGCTGTGTCCGGGGACACACGCCCCAGACTCAGTTCAGACGAGGTGGCTCCAAGGCCAAGACTGTCCCAGAGGTGTCATCTGGAGACAGGTCAGAAGCAGACGTCTGCATGCAGAATCTCCCCAGTGCCTGCATGCACACTCTCTAGAAAAGCCTCCTGTTACCCGGTGACCCTGGCATCGTTCTTTCATTGACCTCAAACAAGGTGGCAACACTGCTGACAAGGAGCACACAGATGTCTGAGAGCAGAAGCCATAACACCTGGGCAGGCCAGCCCCCGACAGACACACACACACACACACACACACACACACACACACGCCCTCCTGTTCAAGGTGAGGTGGGAAGTGGCCGGGCAGGAGTCCCAGAGCAGGGAACTCTCCAGCAAATGCAGGAAGCCTTTAACATATGGTAAGGGGACTCCCATGGAGGTGGCAGGCATGTTGGGCACATGCGGTGACACAAGACAGCCCTGGCTTCATCCCTCCGACTTCGGAGGTTGGAAGGCCAGACTTGACCCGGACACTTCAGGTTAGGCACCAAGGTTTGGGAGGAGAGAAAAGAGTTGACGGGAACCTGGCTTTCTTTCCCTGAGTTACTGTGGTGGGCTCACAAGTGAGACAAAGCCCAGGTGACTCTCATCTGATAACCTATCCAACAAGTGAACCTGTAACAACCCAGTCACTATAGCATGTCCCTTGGTCTATTCTCCTTGGCAACATCCTGTGACACTCATTACAGAAAGAGCCCCAGCCCCATAGCTCAGGGACATCTGAACAATTCAAGGTTTCACCAATGTCCCTAAGGTCTTATACGTCTGAGAAGTTCCATGTAAACATGAGACAACACTTCCTTCATGAAACAGCTTTGTTCTGTTGCCAGGAGAGAAGAATCAGGGGGCAGGTACGATCTCCATGGGTGTGGCTTGCATCACATCTGATGTGATTATAGGTCAGGGCAAAGTAAACATGGAATTAAGACCAAGACATAAGCTGGCATGGGTGGGATGTTTCCTAAGACCTACGAGGGATGAGTGTCAAGGGAAGGCCACTAAGGGCTAACGGGTTTTTTTTGTTGTTTTTTTTTTCCCCGCTTTCACAGCACAACTTTATTCTTGTCAGTCTACTTCAGGCTGTACCAGGAGATGTCAGGGAGGCAGGGCCGTGGGGTGACAGTGAGCCAGTGACAGAAAATGGCTAACTATGCCGGGTGCTGTAGTGTTGTCTGAAATCTGTAATGAAGAGACTGGCAGTGTAGTGTGGTTAGATCATTTATAAATCACAGAAATTCACAACCTACTAAACCGATTCGGGTTTGTTCATGCAGACAAAAGGAGCTTTGTAAAATTTAACTCCCATATCAGAGGCCGGGAGAGTCTTTCTGAATTTTCATAAGCAAAGCCTCGCAGGCTGAGCTGGAGAACATTCTAGAAGGTGTTCCCAGGACCCTGGGACCTCCCAAGAAGCCAGTGCACCTGCTGTGGTGAACACTGGCGTAAGGCCTGGGATGATGATTTGAAAAGCCAAAAGTACATCCTGCGTTTGTGCCATTCACTTTATTGCTTGGGTTGCATACCTAATGATACAATAAACTCCTTTTTAAAAAAGTAAGGCACATGAAAAGACTTCTGTGCAAGTTCCATATTATTTTAAAATTTCTATTGGTTAATAAAGCATTTTCACTACAGAATTATCTAGAAAAGTAGATGATGCATTCTTCTGCAAGCAGAAACATTATTACATTTACCTCATGGCACAATTAAACAGTCACTAAACCCAGTGTTCATATTATAATGATGTAGCCACTATTACAATTGCAAAAACGTTGATCAGCTTATCCACGTATGTACAGCCAGGTCCCCACGTGGTGAAATTTAAAGGGAGAACAGCAACAGCATCTAACTGCATCCATGTCCCGTTCTATTAAAGGTAAGAGATTTGGCGTTTTGGGTCTTTTTTCTGTAAGCCGTGCTGTTGTTATTCACGAAAAGACAACGTCATACGATACTGAAGACCATGGACAGATACAGTTCATAAGACACCTGAATCCAGCCATCCTGATCCGTGTCGTAACGTCTGAATATATCCGTCAACCTCTGGAGCACGATGCAGCCCTGGATGAAGTCGTCAAAGGCAATCTGCCCCCGTCCTTGTCTGTCGAACTTCCGGATGAGGATGTCGTGGAATTGGTCTGAGAGCCGGTAGCCAATACCCGAGAGGGCTTGCTTGAGCTCGTTCTTGTCGATCATGCCGGAGTTATCTCTGTCGTAGGTGCGGAAGACGTTCTGCCAGTCCGTGATGTACTTCCACACGCCCGTGAACTCGCTGAAGTTCACGCCGGCCTTGTTCTCCCGGTCAAACATAGATATGATAGACCGAACAGTCACTGGGTTAAACGGAGTCCACGTGCCATTGGAGAGTGCTTGCTGGAGCTCGTGTCAGATATCACTCCACTCCTGTCTTTATCAACCCTCTGGAAGATGTTCCACAGGAAGCTCTGATCCGGTAGCGCCGGGCCCGCAGTAGGGCCAGGGCCGCCCCGGGGCCAGGGCGGTAGGAGTAAGAGGCCATGGGCCGAGGCGCGAAGCTAGGCTGAAGCACCGGCGGCAACAGGACTCGCTGGGGCGACTCTGCTTCCGCCTCTGCCCTGGGCAGAGCCTGGCGCTACCAGGCTAACGGTTTTTTTAGAAAATCAACAAGATTTTTTAGAAAATCTCCATGGGTGTGGCTTGCATCACATCTGATGTGATTATAGGTCAGGGCAAAGTAAACATGGAATTAAGACCAAGACATAAGCTGGCATGGGTGGGATGTTTTCTAAGATCTACGAGGGATGAGTGTCAAGGGAAGGCCACTAAGGGCTAACGGTTTTTTTAGAAAATCAAATTTATTCTCTGTAGGGAATGGGGCCAACCCTTCTCAGTTTCAGGATGCCATCTATCTTTAAGCAGTCAGGAGAAGGGCTGCCCACTCCCTTCGCAGGTGGTGGACATTCAGGAGCTATTGGGGGGGGGCGTCTCTGCCAGTGCGGGCTGGCCCTCGCCCCGTCCTGAGAGCGGAAGACCAGCTCCCCAGCCTGCAGCACCTGCCCGGCCGGCCACATACTGACTGGCCTGTACTGATGGTAAAAGTAGGTCTAAGGTTTTGAAAGGTAAGAGTCCCACGGCAAAGACGTTCCTGTCTTAAGTCTAAGATCACAGGATCGGCTCAGAAAAAGGGCAGAGCCATTGGACGAGTCCAGAACCTACAGACCTAGGAGCATGAGCTGCCTAGAGTTCTGCCACCAGAACTGTGAGTCACCTGCCCTGCCCTCCTGAGGCCAAGCAGCTCTGCAACCCTCTCTTCCCCACTTCCATCTCCCCAAAGGAGGGCACAAAGTGCTTATCGAGGAGAGCAGCAGGGGCCACGAATTCAGTGTTTAAGCCAGACCCCCTCGTCCCACTCAAGGTGGATCAAAGTCCTGACTCAAGGGTCCTTAGTTGAGCACATTCTGTCCACCTTGAATGATCAAAGGAACACGGTTCCCCCTTCCAAACATTCCTGATCATTGAAAAGTCACCTTAGTAGGCTTAGGTCATGCAGGGATTTGACAGTATGTTATTGTGGCTATGTTTTGCAGGAGCTATGCCCAGCACTCAACACCCCAGAAGTAGTTGTGGGATTTTTTTGAGACAACCTAGCCTGGGCAACACAGCAAGACTGAGTGCTGTGGCATGAGCCTAGCTCACAGCAACCTCAATCTCCTGGGCTCAAGCAATCCTTCTGCCTCAACCTTCTGAGTATCCAGGACTACAGGCATGTGCCACCATGCCTGGCCAAATAACATAGAAAAAATTAGCCAATTAATTTCTTTCTATTTAGAGTATAGACAGGGTCTTGCTCTTGGCTCAGGCTCGTTTCAGACTCCTGACCTCAAGCAATCCACCGGGCCTCGGCCTCCCAGAGTGCTAGGATTACAGGGACCCGCCAGTTGTGGGATGTTCTTATGATAGGGAAAAGCCCCCACACCTGGGAGCCCTGTGGCAAAATCCACAATCCACTGATTGGATACCTGTGAAGTTTATGGCTGATCCTAATAATAGGGAAAAGCCCCCGCCTGGGGGCCCTGAGGCAAAATCCACTGCAGATTGGATACATTAGAAGCTTATTGGCTGATCCTACTAATCCCACCACTAATCGGATAATCTTGCATGCTCATAGGTGATTGGCTACGTGTGATCCAAGAACCGTATATAAGACTGGAGAGAAGGCAGCCTCCTCTGGAAGCTGAGCAGTTGGGACGACCGAAACCTGCTAAGGTGAACCCTTTAAGGTGAAGCTGATCAGTGAGCTGAATGAGCGAGAGGTCCAGCTTGGGGTGCCAGATAAGGTGTCCTGGCACTCCGAGTACAAGGACAGCGCCTGGATATTCCTGGGAGGGCTTCCTTAAGAATTGACTAAAGGCGACATCATCTCACAGTATGGGGCGGAAGATGTCGCTCACCAGCTTTTTACCTGCACCTACTCAGCTATCTCAGGACCAGCTTGAGGCTGAAGAGAAGGCAAGATCTCAGAGGTCACCCCAGACCTCACTGGTATCCTCCCGAAGAGAACCTCCCCCATACGGCTATCGGAAAGGCTGGATACCTCGGTCATTAGAGGATTTTGGAGATGGAGGTGCTTTTCCAGAGATCCATGTGGCCCAGTATCCACTGGACATGGGACGAAAGAAAAAAATGTCGAATGCACTGGCCATTCAGGTGGATCCTGAAGGAAAAATTAAGTATGATGCAATTGCTCGACAAGGACAGTCAAAAGACAAGATCATTTATAGCAAATACACTGACCTGGTTCCAAAGGAGGTTATGAATGCAGATGATGCAGACCTGCAAAGACCCGATGAAGAAGCTATTAAAGAGATAACAGAAAAAACAAGGGTAGCCTTAGAAAAATCCCTATCGCAGAAGGTTGCCGCAGCCATGCCAGTTCGAGCAGCTGACAAACTGGCTCCTGCTCAGTATATCCGATACACACCATCTCAGCAAGGAGTAGCTTTCAACTCTGGAGCTAAACAAAGGGTTATTCGCATGGTAGAAATGCAGAAAGACCCAATGGAGCCTCCAAGGTTCAAGATCAATAAGAAAATCCCCCGGGGACCACCCTCTCCTCCTCCACCTGTCATGCATTCTCCTAGCCGAAAGATGACTGTAAAGGAACAACAAGAGTGGAAGATTCCTCCTTGTATTTCTAACTGGAAAAATGCAAAGGGTTATACAATTCCATTAGATAAACGTCTGGCTGCTGATGGAAGAGGGCTACAGACAGTGCACATAAATGAAAATTTTGCCAAACTGGCTGAAGCTCTCTACATTGCTGATCGGAAGGCCCGTGAAGCTGTGGAAATGCGTGCCCAAGTAGAGAGAAAAATGGCTCAGAAAGAAAAGGAGAAACATGAAGAGAAACTTAGAGAAATGGCCCAGAAAGCCAGGCAGAGGAGAGCTGGGATCAAAACCCATGTGGAAAAAGAGGATGGGGAGGCACGTGAGAGGGACGAAATCCGGCATGATAGGCGAAAAGGAAGACAGCATGACCGGAATCTTTCTAGGGCCGCTCCTGATAAGAGGTCGAAACTTCAGAGAAATGAAAATCGGGATATCAGTGAAGTCATTGCTCTTGGTGTGCCTAATCCTTGGACTTCTAATGACGTTCAGTATGACCAAAGGCTCTTCAACCAATCCAAGGGTATGGACAGTGGATTTGCAGGTGGAGAAGATGAAATTTACAATGTTTATGATCAAGCCTGGAGAGGTGGTAAAGATAGGGCCCAGAGTATTTATAGGCCCAGTCAAAATCTGGACAAGGACATGTATGGTGATGACCTAGAAGCCAGAATAAAGACCAACAGATTTGTTCCCGACAAGGAATTTTCCGGTTCAGACCCCAGGCAGAGAGGCAGAGAAGGACCAGTTCAGTTTGAGGAAGATCCTTTTGGCTTGGACAAGTTTTTGGAAGAAGCCAAACATCATGGTGGCTCTAAAAGACCTTCAGATAGCAGCCGCCCAAAGGAACATGAGCATGAAGGCAAGAAGAGGAGGAAGGAGTAGACACGTGTCTCTTCAAAGTGAACGAACTATTATCCAAAACCCTAATGATGCAAGTCATATGGGGAATACTTTGTCAATGGTCAGGATAAAAACCAAATCTGGGTGACACATCCCAGCACTACTTTTTCTTACAGGAGAAAGGGGGATAGAAAATTCTACTTTGAATTAGTTTTTTTAAAGAGTGGGTTGTGTTTGTCCTTCTCCCACCTTTTGGCATTTATAGAACATACTGCCCCACATGAAAAATTAAGACCACTTCCTTTTATGTGACACTACAAGTTTGGGGTTAATATTTTGTGTACAAACAACTGCTTATGAATAAAGTTACCCCAACCATGATGAGGATGATATTCACATATTGGAACTGTGCTACCAAATGACATTTTTCCCCGCATTGTGCTGTTTTAATTTGGACTGGGTAAAGTAAGCTCTTGCTTGGTGCAACTATTGTTTCAAATAAAACCCTTTAGACCAAAAAAAAAAAAAAAGATTAAAGGGCGAACTATCCGAGTGGATCATGTATCTAACTATCGGCCTCCCAAGGACTCGGAGCTCTCTAGGCACATCATCCAGTTCTTCTAGAGAAGGGCTGTCACGCCACGCCAGAGCAAGATGGCCGACGCGGCGGCCGCGGCCGGGGCTAGCAGCTCCGGAACGAGATCAGGAAGTAAACAGTCTCCTAACCCTGCTGATAACTACCATCTGGCCTGGAGGAGAACACTGCAAGTGGTTGTGAGCTCCTTGCTCACAGAGGCAGGGTTTGAGCGCGCCGAAAAAGCATCCGTGGAAACATTGACAGAGATGCTGCAGAGCTGCATTTCAGAAATTGGGAGGAGTGCCGAGTCTCACTGTGAGCACACAGCCAGGACTCAGCCCCCACTGTCGGATGTCGTGCTCACACTTGTTGAGATGGGTTTCAATGCAGACACTCTCCCAGCTTATGCAAAACGGTCTCGGAGGATGGTCATCGCTGCTCCTCCAGATACCAATCAGCCAGTGACCCCCAAGGCCCTCACTGCAGGGCAGAACCGACCCCGCCCGCCACACGTCCCCAGCCATTTTCCTGAGTTCCCGATCCCCACACCTACATCAGAACTCCGACTTTCCGCGAGCCCGTGTGGGACTCCCAGGGCCTGCGGGAGAAGGCTGCATCCCAGAGGCGCGACGTGGAACGGGCACTCGCCCGTTTCATGGCCAAGACAGGAGAGACCCAGAGTCTTTTCAAAGATGATGTCAGCACATTTCCATTGATTGATGCCAAACCTTTCAGCATCCCCTACCTGACAGCTCTTCTTCCGTCTGAGCTGGAGATGCAACAAATGGAAGAGACGGATTCCTCGGAGCAGGACGAGCAGACAGACACACAGAACCTCACTCTTCATGTCAGTACGGACGATTCTGGAGCCGAGAAGGAGAACACTTCTGTCCTGCAGCAGAACCCCGCCTTGTCGGGAAGCCGCAACGGGGAAGAGAGAGAGCATCATTGAT